TGTGTTGTATCCAAAAATCTTGTAACTCAATTTCAACCGTATTCCCAATGTCGTATCGACTGCAAACTTCGTATAGCTATGTCATACTGATGACAATACTATATTCTATCATTGAAAATAAAATATCTATATTTTTAAACGATCTTTTTAACGACTCTAATTGTCCACGCTCAACTCACGTTGCCTGTCAATCACCATGGGGTCCCTGACGTCACGGCAAGTCTCTGGGAGCCACGCCCAGGGGCGGGGCATGTGGAAGGAGGGGAGGGGCGATGGGGGAAGGGGCATGGGGAGGGGCAGCTCGGACAGTACATTTCATTAAAGCGTGTTAAAAAAAGTTTTTTAAAATATTTTATTCCCAACAACACCCTTTTAATTTTCCTCTGTTGTCCATCCGACACGTGCCAGTTTGTCCTTCTCATCACTGCCTGCATCATCGGAGTCTTCTTCTATTGTGCAACTTTTTTCTTACTTCCACGTTGGTCACTCTTTGGGCACGGCTTAGACGCAGCAGTATCCTTCGGTGTGAATACATTTACAGTACCAATATGTATTTTCTAATCTCTGTCAGTCTTTTTTGTTAATGTCCACGTCTCGCAGGCATACAAAGCTGTACTGAACACGCATGTTCTTAAGACAACGTTTGCAGTCGATACGACATGGATGGACAACAGAGGAAAATTAAAAGGGTGTTGTTGGGAATAAAATATTTAAAAAAAACTTTTTTTAAACACGCTTTAATGAAATGTACTGTCCGAGCTGCCCCTCCCCCTGCCCCCATCGCCCCTCCCCTCCTTCCACACCCCCCGCCCCTGGGCGTGGCTCCCAGAGGCTTGCCGTGACGTCAGGGACCCCGTGGTGATTGACAGGCAACGTGAGTTGAGCGTGGACAATTAGAGTCGTTAAAAAGATCGTTTAAAAATATAGATATTTTATTTTCAATGATAGAATATGGTATTGTCATCAGTATGACATAGCTATACGAAGTTTTGCAGTCGATACGACATTGGGAATACGGTTGAAATTGAGTTACAAGATTTTTGGATACGACAACACACACAGTAAGTTAAATAAAAGCGTGTAAAATGTTGAAAAATATGTTTTGGATTTCTTATGATAGAATATCGTGTTGTCATCAGTATGACATAGCTATTTCAAGTTTGCAGTCGATAGCACATTGGGAAGTGTGTAAAAATTGAGTTACAAGATTTATTTTTTGAGGATACAACAGATGAAGTGAGATAAATAAAAGCGTGTAATAAAAGCGTGTAACAAGTATAACCCGTAAAAACAAGTTTTTCACTATAAATCCTTTATATGCGTGGCGGCTAGAGTACTCTCGTCCTCTGGCTTGAGATGGCTGCCACCTATGGGTCAGATGATTGCATTGCACCATTAAGCAATTGGTAATTAAATAAATAGTGTGAAATTTGGAAAAAAAATTTCACGAACATTAATTGTCACGCACAACGAGTCTGTGTGGAAAATGTCAGCTCGATTGGATCACGGGAAGTGGGTTAAAAAACGACCGAAAGATTTGCACGGTCGTAAGCGCGCAAGCAAGCAAGCAAGTGAACTTAATATAAAGGATTTAAAATGGAAGGAACCGGATGGAAGAGGAATACCTACCAGAGAATGGCTGGATGACGACTACGTGAATCTAGATTTGAAGCTTTCGTGACTGCAGGAATCCATACTCTTTGGTTCTTTCGGTAAAGTCACGTAGGTAGAAAATAAAATCAATAAAATCACGACGTTTCGATTACAACACAAGCAATCATCATCAGGTGGGAAAACCACAGCAAGATTTTTTATTTAGACAGGAAAAACACAGAGATGGAGACAGAAGGAGAAACATACATGGAGACAGACAGAGCTACATACAGAGAGACCTACAGAGAGAGAGATACAGATAAACAGTGACATACACCAGGCACAAACGTGTTTGTGGGGCATTTTAAAATCGAGATTTGGGGGCCTTAAAATCATAAAATTTTGGATTTTCAGATTTTTCTCTCCCTGTTGTTTGTGTCCATGTCGGGAAGTAGCCCAGCTGGTTTTGAGACATACACATTACTGTCTTAATTATTTGTATTTAAATAGAAGATAAAAAAGTCTGTCTTTCTGGGGTTCCGTCTTGTGTTGGAAATCGTCACAATCGACGAAATAATCGATTCTCAATCGATTCCAGCAACCCAGGCGAGTCAACTTGAATCGCCCAAGTTGGCGTGAATCGATTCCTTGCAGCCCACGTGACTCGGAGGGCCACGTGACGAGTCAGCTGTCAGTGTGCACGCTTCCTCTGTTTCAGCGAGTCTCACTCTGTCTCCCTGTGTCTGTCTGTCTCCCTCTGTCTCTAACTCTGTCTCCCTGTGTCTCTCACTCTGTCTCCCTGTGTCTCACTCTGTCTCCCTCTGTCTCTAACTCTGTCTCCCTGCGTCTCTAACTCCGTCTCCCTGAGTCTCACTCTGTCTCCCTGTGTCTCTCACTGCGTCTCCCTGTGTCTCTCCCTGTGTCTCTAACTCTGTCTCTCTGTGTCTCACTGTGTCTCTCTGTGTCTCTCCCTGTGTCTCTCACTCTGTCTCCCTGTGTCTCTCACTGCGTCTCCCTGTGTCTGTCTGTCTCCCTGTGTCTCTCACTCTGTCTCCCTGTGTCTGTCTGTCTCCCTGTGTCTCTCACTCTGTCTCCCTGTGTCTGTCTGTCTCCCTGTGTCTCTCACTCTGTCTCTCACTGCGTCTCCCTGTGTCTCTCCCTCTGTCTCTAACTCTGTCTCCCTGTGTCTCTCACTCTGTCTCCCTGTGTCTCACTCTGTCTCCCTGTGTCTCTCACTGCGTCTCCCTGTGTTTCTCCCTGTGTCTCTCACTCTGTCTCCCTGAGTCTCACTCTGTCTCCCTGTGTCTCTCCCTGTGTCTCTCACTCTGTCTCCCTGTGCCTCTCCCTGTGTCTCCCTGTGTCTCTCCCTCTGTCTCTAACTCTGTCTCACTCTGTCTCTCACTCTGTCTCCCTGTGTCTCTCCCTGTGTCTCTAACTCTGTCTCTCTGTGTCTCCCTGTGTCTCTCTGTGTCTCCCTGTGTCTCTCTGTGTCTCCCTGTGTTTCTCACTGAGTCTCCCTGCGTCTCCCCCTGCTCCCCCTATCCCTAAGACCCCCATCCCCCCCCCCCCACGTGCTCGCTATGAGCGAGGCGAGCCGGCCCGTCCCGGCCCCGCGGCGCCTGGGCCCCGCAGGAGGCCCCGGGCCCGAAGCGTCGAGCGTGGCGGACGCGGCCAAGTCCATGGCGGAGGGGCTCACGGTGCAGGTGAACGTGGGGGCGTGTTGGGGGGGGGGGGGGCAGCGCGGGTCTAGGAGCGGAGAGGGAAGGGCAGGGGGATAGGGAATAGTTGGCACGGGCGTGGGGGGAAAGGGAATTCACTGTCAAGGAACTCTGGGGCGGGGGGGTGGTGAGAAGGGCAGGGGAGGAGAGGGAAGGGCAGGGGAGGAGAGGGAAGGACAGGGGAGGAGAGGGAAGGGCAGGGGAGGAGAGGGAAGGGCAGGGGAGGAGAGGGAAGGGCAGGGGAGGAGAGGGAAGGGCAGGGGAGGAGAGGGAAGAGCAGGGGAGGAGAGGGAGGAAAGGGTAGCGGAGGAGGGGAGGAGAGGGAAGGGCAGGGGAGGAGAGGGAAGGGCAGGGGAGGAGAGGGAAGGGCAGGGGAGGAGAGGGAAGGGCAGGGGAGGAGAGGGAAGGGCAGGGGATGAGAGGGAAGGGCAGGGGAAGAGAGGGAAGGGCAGGGGAGGAGAGGGAAGAGCAGGGGAGGAGAGGGAGGAAAGGGTAGCGGAGGAGGGGAGGAGAGGGAAGGGCAGGGGAGGAGATGGAAGGAAGGGCAGGGGAGGAGATGGAAGGGGAGGGGGCAGAAGGGCAGCACGTGTGTGAAGTGTAGGTATAATACCCACACTTCACGTGTTCTCAAATTGCTGCCGTTACGTGGCGAGATCGCTACTTCCACCGCCTAGTGGTAAATTGCTGATATAGCAGCTGTGGTGTGACAGCTGATGTGGTTTGTTGCTGCTGCTGCTGTTGTTGTTGTGGGAGCTGAATTGGCGAACAACAGTTGCCATTGCTGTTGGTCCTGTAAGCTGTGGCCGATGCTACTGACTCAGCCACTCACTCAACCACTCGCCCACTCATTCACTCACTCACCCGCTCATTCACTCACCCACTCGCCCACTCGCCCACTCGCCCACTCACCCACTCGCCCACTCGCCCACTCACACACCCACCCACCCACTCGCCCACTCACTCAACCACTCGCCCACTCACCCACCCATTCACCCACTCACCCACCCACTCACCCACCCACCCACTCACCCACCCACTCACTCACCCACTCGCCCACTCGCCCACTCGCCCACCCGCCCACTCGCCCACCCGCCCACCCGCCCACTCGCCCACTCGCCCACTCACCCACCCACCCACCCATTCACCCACTCACCCACCCACCCACCCATTCACCCACTCACCCACTCGCCCACTCGCCCACTCACCCACCCATTCACCCACTCACCCACTCACTCAACCACTCGCCCACTCACTTACCCACCCACCCATTCACCCACTCACTCACTCACCCACCCACTCACCCACTCACTCAACCACTCGCCCACCCACTCGACCACCCACTCCCTCAACCACTCTCCCAACCACCCACTCACCCACCCACTCACCCACCCACTCACCCACCCATTCACTCACTCTTGCAAATTAGTACAGAGAATCAACTGTAATGCTTGTTGTTAATTTTGTTGCAGCAATTCTCGGACGTCTCGGCCCTGGCTCTGGAGTTACTCACTCACCCTGACCAGGTTACACGAGCCCCTCAACCAGCTGCTGTTGTTGTAAACGCGTGTCTGTGTGTGTGAGGGTGGGACAGTGTGTAAACATCGCCACTGGGGAGACAAAGGCAGCCGGGCTGGCCACCCACCCCCTCGTGTGCCATGCCGGCCTTCATACCTGCTCGCTAACAGCACTTGCCCCACCAGTCTGTTCAGGCTATACGGGGGATCTTTGTCTTTTGTGGGTGGGAAAATCACCCTCCACTGTTGTCGGAGGCGGTCATCTTCCAGCAACAGCCGAGCGGCTAAAACTCAGCGAGTTGGAACAGCAGGGGGCACAGGAGGTGCAATTACCAGTCGTCTCATTCAGTCAACCCACGGCATCTGGGTCTGTCCCGTGACCTCCTGTCAGCGGCGAGCCTTCGACGTTTGACGTGGCCCCAGAGTGCACCTGGCCTGGCACAGGCACCGTGGTGGGGACGTCACCGCCACTTAGTTGGGCGCCACGGTGGCGAGATGTTCACTCTCGTGGTCACGTGGATTTTTTCCCCGCGCCCACCGGTTTTTCCCCTCCACATTTTAGAAACGCACGTTTCGAGTATTTGGCTGCTATCAATTTCCACATGATAAGCCACTTCGTTGGGCTATCATTGTGGTAGCCAGGCCGCTTCTGAAAAAGAGCTACATAGCTCAGTGGGCCTTACCTGATAAAAAAACATTTTTTAGTTTGTCTTAGTCGCGAATGGCAGTGGTTCTTATACAGGTAGGAAGAATGTTCCACACTGCCCACCAGGGAGTTTTTGTCTGACTGTCGAGCATAATAAAATATATAATATAAACAGCTCTTTGATTGGTGGAGACCTACTGCCGGGTACGGAGAGGGGAGGGGCCTAAGGGAGGCGGGGGTCAGGGGAGGGGCCTGAGGGAGGGGGGGTCAGGAGAGGGGCCTGAGGGAGGGGGGGGGGTCAGGGGAGGGGCCTAAGGGAAGGGGGGGTCAGGAGAGGGGCCTGAGGGGGGTGGGTCAGGGGAGGGGCCTAAGGGAGGGGGAGGTCAGGGGAGGGGCCTAAGCAAGGGGGAGGGGGCGATAGTGAAGGGGGTTGGCTACCTGGCTGTCTGCCTGGCTCCCTTAAGTCACGTGATCTTGTATACAGGTAGGAGCAACAGGTTCCACACTGCCCACCAGGGATGATTTGTCTGTCTGTCGTGCATATTTGTCTGTCGTGCACGAATGCGCTGTCCAACCAAGTTCCTACCTGCCCACTCCGAAGGTAACGTGTTTATTGTTAAGGGTAGGAAAAGTTGGGAGCACAGGTGATGCATCTTCAGTCATCTCGGTTAGCCGGTGGCACCTTGTCCTGTCCCGTGACCTCCTTGCCAGCATCGACAGCCTTCCACCCCAAACGTGATAGCCCCGTCCCAAACAAAAACTCGCATGGGACGGGGAAGCCTCAATCGAGCAGATCTTTAAAGTTACGGTTGCACGTGGCTCTAGTTTTGTGTGTCGGCACGTGTCTTTGGACCAATGCTGGGCCTCCTCCCTAAGGTCGTCACCCTGACAACGACTAGCGCATTGTGCAAAGGCATCGCCGCTGGGGGGAGACAAAGGCGGGCGGGCGGGCGGGCTGTGCGGGGCATTGTCTGTGCCAACCCCCCCCTTCACAGGCGCCACCGCGTCCACCGCCCTTCGTCGGGGGTACCCTTTGCTAAGAGGACTTGCCCCAGCAGCCTGCGTGGGCTACATGGGGGGACCTTTGTCTTTGTGTGTGCGCACACGTGTGTACGCGCGCGCGTGTGTGTGCATGTTGAGTGTGTAATTGTAAGTGTGCGTTGCATGTGTGTGGTGCATGTTGGTGTGCGTGTTTGGTGCGTGTGTGGTGCGTGTGTGGTGCGTGTGTGGTGCGTGTGTGCGTGTGTGTGGTGCGTGTGTGGTGCGTGTGGTGCGTGTGTGGTGCGTGTGTGGTGCGTGTGTGGTGCGTGTGTGCGTGTGTGTGCGTGTGTGTGGTGCGTGTGTGTGGTGCGTGTGTGTGGTGCGTGTGTGGTGCGTGTGGTGCGTGTGTGTGGTGCGTGTGTGTGGTGCATGTTGGTGTGCGTGTGTGGCGTGCGTGTGGTTCGCGTGGTGTGCGTGTGTGTGCGTGTGTGTGGTGCGTGTGTGTGGTGCGCGTGGTGTGCGTGTGCGTGTGTGTGCGTGTGTGTGGTGCGCGTGTGGTGCGTGTGTGGTGCGCGTGTGGTGCGTGTGTGTGCGTGTGCATGTGTGTGCGTGTGTGTGTGTGTGCGTGTGTGTGGTGCGTGTGTGTGGTGCGCGTGTGGTGCGTGTGTGGTGCGCGTGTGGTGCGTGTGTGGTGCGCGTGGTGTGCGTGTGTGTGCGTGTGCATGTGTGTGCGTGTGCGTGTGTGTGCGTGTGTGTGGTGCGTGTGTGTGGTGCGCGTGTGGTGCGTGTGTGGTGCGCGTGGTGTGTGTGCGTGTGCATGTGTGTGCGTGTGCGTGTGTGTGCGTGTGTGTGGTGCATGTTGGTGTGCGTGTGTGGTGTGCGTGTGCGTGTGGTGCGTGTGTGTGGTGCGCGTGGTGTGCGTGTGTGGTGTGCGTGTGCGTGTGGTGCGTGTGTGTGGTGCGCGTGGTGTGCGTGTGTGTGCGTGTGGTGCGTGTGTGGTGTCTGCAGGCGCAGAAGTTGTTTGGGCGCTTGGAGGGACTTGCGTTGGGCCTGCCGGAGCCCAAGGTGCTGCTCGGACAACTCGTGCTCGTCGCTCAGGGTGGGGGAGCAGTGGCGGGGGACACAAAGGGGGCGGGGGAGGGGGGGGGCGTGTGGGGGTGGGGGCCGTTTGCGGGATACAGCGTTGCCGCCCCCCCCCCCTCGTACACGTGGATGTTTCTCTGGGCGCTCCGGCTTCCTCCCGCGCATATAATAAACATCATTCCTCGCCTCAATGTATCGACGACCACAGAGCTGAGGCCAGTGGCAGGCCCCTGGTGGCCTTTCAGTGTGGCCCACTGATGTGTGCCCCTCCCCACCGACCAGACACTCGTGTGAAAACGCCCACCCATCATCATCGTCGTGCTGCTGTCAAACTCCCAATGGTTTCAAATGGTGTGGCAGCCCTCACACACACTGACGATGTCTTATTGTTGGTGCCGGCACACTGGCTGGTTTGCTACTGGGCGGCAAGACAGGCAGGTAACGCGACACGCCGGAGGCTGGGCGCCACGGTGGCCAGGAGATGTTGACTACCTCGCCTGGTCTACAGGAGGTCGTGGGTTCGATCCCGACTCTGACGCCTGCTGCTGTATTGCGTGTCTCATCATCACGGTTGCTAGGAGATGTTAACTACGTCGCCTGGTCTACAGGAGGTCGTGGGTTCGATCTCGACTCTGACGCCTGCTGCTGTATTGCGTGTCTCTCTCTCTCATCATCACGGTGGCTAGGAGATGTTAACTACCTCGCCTGGTCTACAGGAGGTCGTGGGTTCGATCCCGACTCTGACGCCTGCTGCTGTATTGCGTGTCTCTCTCTCTCATCATCACGGTGGCTAGGAGATGTTATCTCCCTCGCCTGGTCTACAGGAGGTCGTGGGTTCGATCCCGACTGACGCCTGCTGCTGTATTGCGTGTCTCTCTCTCTCATCATCACGGTGGCCAGGAGATGTTAACTCCCTCGCCTGGTATACAGGAGATCGTGGGTTCGATCCCGACTCTGACGCCTGCTGCTGTATATTTGGAGTCTGCGTGTCTCTCTCTCATCATCATCACGGTGGCTAGGAGATGTTAACTACCTCGCCTGGTCTACAGGAGGTCGTGGGTTCGATCCCGACTCTGACGCCTGCTGCTGTATTGCGTGTCTCATCATCACGGTTGCTAGGAGATGTTAACTACGTCGCCTGGTCTACAGGAGGTCGTGGGTTCGATCTCGACTCTGACGCCTGCTGCTGTATTGCGTGTCTCTCTCTCTCATCATCACGGTGGCTAGGAGATGTTAACTACCTCGCCTGGTCTACAGGAGGTCGTGGGTTCGATCCCGACTCTGACGCCTGCTGCTGTATTGCGTGTCTCTCTCTCTCATCATCACGGTGGCTAGGAGATGTTATCTCCCTCGCCTGGTCTACAGGAGGTCGTGGGTTCGATCCCGACTGACGCCTGCTGCTGTATTGCGTGTCTCTCTCTCTCATCATCACGGTGGCCAGGAGATGTTAACTCCCTCGCCTGGTATACAGGAGATCGTGGGTTCGATCCCGACTCTGACGCCTGCTGCTGTATATTTGGAGTCTGCGTGTCTCTCTCTCATCATCATCACGGTGGCTAGGAGATGTTAACTACCTCGCCTGGTCTACAGGAGGTCGTGGGTTCGATCCCGACTCTGACGCCTGCTGCTGTATTGCGTGTCTCATCATCACGGTTGCTAGGAGATGTTAACTACGTCGCCTGGTCTACAGGAGGTCGTGGGTTCGATCTCGACTCTGACGCCTGCTGCTGTATTGCGTGTCTCTCTCTCTCATCATCACGGTGGCTAGGAGATGTTAACTACCTCGCCTGGTCTACAGGAGGTCGTGGGTTCGATCCCGACTCTGACGCCTGCTGCTGTATTGCGTGTCTCTCTCTCTCATCATCACGGTGGCTAGGAGATGTTATCTCCCTCGCCTGGTCTACAGGAGGTCGTGGGTTCGATCCCGACTGACGCCTGCTGCTGTATTGCGTGTCTCTCTCTCTCATCATCACGGTGGCCAGGAGATGTTAACTCCCTCGCCTGGTATACAGGAGATCGTGGGTTCGATCCCGACTCTGACGCCTGCTGCTGTATATTTGGAGTCTGCGTGTCTCTCTCTCATCATCATCACGGTGGCTAGGAGATGTTAACTACCTCGCCTGGTCTACAGGAGGTCGTGGGTTCGATCCCGACTCTGACGCCTGCTGCTGTATTGCGTGTCTCATCATCACGGTTGCTAGGAGATGTTAACTACGTCGCCTGGTCTACAGGAGGTCGTGGGTTCGATCTCGACTCTGACGCCTGCTGCTGTATTGCGTGTCTCTCTCTCTCATCATCACGGTGGCTAGGAGATGTTAACTACCTCGCCTGGTCTACAGGAGGTCGTGGGTTCGATCCCGACTCTGACGCCTGCTGCTGTATTGCGTGTCTCTCTCTCTCATCATCACGGTGGCTAGGAGATGTTATCTCCCTCGCCTGGTCTACAGGAGGTCGTGGGTTCGATCCCGACTGACGCCTGCTGCTGTATTGCGTGTCTCTCTCTCTCATCATCACGGTGGCCAGGAGATGTTAACTCCCTCGCCTGGTATACAGGAGATCGTGGGTTCGATCCCGACTCTGACGCCTGCTGCTGTATATTTGGAGTCTGCGTGTCTCTCTCTCATCATCATCACGGTGGCTAGGAGATGTTAACTACCTCGCCTGGTCTACAGGAGGTCGTGGGTTCGATCCCGACTCTGACGCCTGCTGCTGTATTGCGTGTCTCATCATCACGGTTGCTAGGAGATGTTAACTACGTCGCCTGGTCTACAGGAGGTCGTGGGTTCGATCTCGACTCTGACGCCTGCTGCTGTATTGCGTGTCTCTCTCTCTCATCATCACGGTGGCTAGGAGATGTTAACTACCTCGCCTGGTCTACAGGAGGTCGTGGGTTCGATCCCGACTCTGACGCCTGCTGCTGTATTGCGTGTCTCTCTCTCTCATCATCACGGTGGCTAGGAGATGTTATCTCCCTCGCCTGGTCTACAGGAGGTCGTGGGTTCGATCCCGACTGACGCCTGCTGCTGTATTGCGTGTCTCTCTCTCTCATCATCACGGTGGCCAGGAGATGTTAACTCCCTCGCCTGGTATACAGGAGATCGTGGGTTCGATCCCGACTCTGACGCCTGCTGCTGTATATTTGGAGTCTGCGTGTCTCTCTCTCATCATCATCACGGTGGCTAGGAGATGTTAACTACCTCGCCTGGTCTACAGGAGGTCGTGGGTTCGATCCCGACTCTGACGCCTGCTGCTGTATTGCGTGTCTCATCATCACGGTTGCTAGGAGATGTTAACTACGTCGCCTGGTCTACAGGAGGTCGTGGGTTCGATCTCGACTCTGACGCCTGCTGCTGTATTGCGTGTCTCTCTCTCTCATCATCACGGTGGCTAGGAGATGTTAACTACCTCGCCTGGTCTACAGGAGGTCGTGGGTTCGATCCCGACTCTGACGCCTGCTGCTGTATTGCGTGTCTCTCTCTCTCATCATCACGGTGGCTAGGAGATGTTATCTCCCTCGCCTGGTCTACAGGAGGTCGTGGGTTCGATCCCGACTGACGCCTGCTGCTGTATTGCGTGTCTCTCTCTCTCATCATCACGGTGGCCAGGAGATGTTAACTCCCTCGCCTGGTATACAGGAGATCGTGGGTTCGATCCCGACTCTGACGCCTGCTGCTGTATATTTGGAGTCTGCGTGTCTCTCTCTCATCATCATCACGGTGGCTAGGAGATGTTAACTACCTCGCCTGGTCTACAGGAGGTCGTGGGTTCGATCCCGACTCTGACGCCTGCTGCTGTATTGCGTGTCTCATCATCACGGTTGCTAGGAGATGTTAACTACGTCGCCTGGTCTACAGGAGGTCGTGGGTTCGATCTCGACTCTGACGCCTGCTGCTGTATTGCGTGTCTCTCTCTCTCATCATCACGGTGGCTAGGAGATGTTAACTACCTCGCCTGGTCTACAGGAGGTCGTGGGTTCGATCCCGACTCTGACGCCTGCTGCTGTATTGCGTGTCTCTCTCTCTCATCATCACGGTGGCTAGGAGATGTTATCTCCCTCGCCTGGTCTACAGGAGGTCGTGGGTTCGATCCCGACTGACGCCTGCTGCTGTATTGCGTGTCTCTCTCTCTCATCATCACGGTGGCCAGGAGATGTTAACTCCCTCGCCTGGTATACAGGAGATCGTGGGTTCGATCCCGACTCTGACGCCTGCTGCTGTATATTTGGAGTCTGCGTGTCTCTCTCTCATCATCATCACGGTGGCTAGGAGATGTTAACTACCTCGCCTGGTCTACAGGAGGTCGTGGGTTCGATCCCGACTCTGACGCCTGCTGCTGTATTGCGTGTCTCATCATCACGGTTGCTAGGAGATGTTAACTACGTCGCCTGGTCTACAGGAGGTCGTGGGTTCGATCTCGACTCTGACGCCTGCTGCTGTATTGCGTGTCTCTCTCTCTCATCATCACGGTGGCTAGGAGATGTTAACTACCTCGCCTGGTCTACAGGAGGTCGTGGGTTCGATCCCGACTCTGACGCCTGCTGCTGTATTGCGTGTCTCTCTCTCTCATCATCACGGTGGCTAGGAGATGTTATCTCCCTCGCCTGGTCTACAGGAGGTCGTGGGTTCGATCCCGACTGACGCCTGCTGCTGTATTGCGTGTCTCTCTCTCTCATCATCACGGTGGCCAGGAGATGTTAACTCCCTCGCCTGGTATACAGGAGATCGTGGGTTCGATCCCGACTCTGACGCCTGCTGCTGTATATTTGGAGTCTGCGTGTCTCTCTCTCATCATCATCACGGTGGCTAGGAGATGTTAACTACCTCGCCTGGTCTACAGGAGGTCGTGGGTTCGATCCCGACTCTGACGCCTGCTGCTGTATTGCGTGTCTCATCATCACGGTTGCTAGGAGATGTTAACTACGTCGCCTGGTCTACAGGAGGTCGTGGGTTCGATCTCGACTCTGACGCCTGCTGCTGTATTGCGTGTCTCTCTCTCTCATCATCACGGTGGCTAGGA